AAAAAAAATTATGACAAATAAAAATGCTCATCAACATTCATAATTTTTTGGTTGGCGAGCTTCACATAGTTAAAAATATAATTTCTCACTGGACATGATGATCATTATTAAATGATAATTCATTGAAAAACTTATAAATAAATAATGAGTATGTTCTTTTTGTAATTCAAACAATAAAATAAAAATTATTAGATAAAAAAAGTGATAATAACACTAATATTAAAGGAACTATTCTTATTTAATGGTTTAAATTATATAATTCAATGCAATTTAAATTGTACAAGACTTTTTTAATAAATAATTCTATCTGTATAGTATGATTTTTTGTATTAAAAACACATTTTTTGTATTTTAGTTTACAATGTAAAAAAAAATATTTGTGAAATGTAATTATATAATTTGTAAATTTAAAATTTTACCTACTAACTATACAGCTGTTTCTATTTTTGCGTGGGCCATCAATAATTATAAAATATATATACTAAGCAAACAAATCACATTTCGATCTTTAAATCCCATAAAAAATCCCCTATTGGAGTTGGTGGCGTGTCTTCTTCTTGACCAGGGGTAATCTCTCGTCGCCTTAAAATTTCGTAGACGAAGGAAAAGAATGGTTTTACGTACACAAATTGATAACTTTTTCCTGAACCTTAACCCATTAAAAAAGGCAGGTGTCCATTAACTACGGTTAAAATTATTATCCAAGTTCGTTGTACGGCCTTTGAACCGGTTCAATTTAGATCCTGGTCCACTTATTCAATCAATCACTGGCCTTTTTTTTTTCAATATTTCTACCTACTTTTCTTTTTTTTTTTGGGATTATTATGGTCCCCACAACAATAAATGGTTCAATACACGATTCCACTCAACATTTTAAAAACCTTCTTAATTTTTTCTTTTTTCTCAACGAAAATTACGATGTGTCTATACTAAAAGATCGAAAATTTTTTTTATGAAAATTAAAACATTTTAGTGTAGTATTATATCATTTATGTAGTGTTATAGTAGATAATGATCTATATTTATGATAGTTGTAGGTCTAATATTTAATCTTTAATTTTTACATGTTAAAAAATTAAAATATTATAATTTTTAATGAGGTAAGTTAGTGATAATATATTTTTAGTGAAAGAGGTCATGAGTTTTTTTTTTTAATAATTAAAGTGTTTTTAGATAATTTTTATACACATTAAAATTATTTTTTTAAATAATTTTAAAACTACACTCTTTATATAAAGTTTAATACATTTAAAAAAAATAATTTTTTTAATATAAACTTAAAATTTTAAATTTTAAATTTAACCTATAAAATACACTTGATTAAAAATAGATCCAACTTTAAAATTATTAGTTCTGATTTTGAAGTTAGATACACAAATATATGATACATAAATATTATATAAAAAAAGTTGTATTATAATGTTTAACTTTAAATAAAAAAAAAAAGAAAAAATAATGATCAATAAATCAATATACAAACAAGTGAGTAGACCCTCACATGACATTATTATTATTTTTTTCTCTATGCCCCTTTGTTTCATCCGTCTCCCATTTGCCTTTATAAATAATTCCAAGAAACCTCAATCCTTCTCCCTGATCTCTTCTTCTTTTTCATTTTACTCTTCAATCTTCTTCTCCTCCAAATCTTTTCTTATTTTCTTCTTTAAATTATTTTATTTTTCTCTTCAAGTTTCATCGGATCGCATGGAAAGGAAATCGAAGATGGCACATGACAACCTGAAATGGAAAAATGGTTTTGCATTTGAGACATGGCGGCCAAATTAGGGATTGCAAGAGAGAAAATGAAGATGGCTTTGAGGCAATGTTTGGCCTCTAGGCAAGTCTAATGCTTGGCTTATCCTCCTATTTTTTTTCGCCTTTTTTCTTTTTCTTGTATGGTTTCTGGGAATTTGGAGGATACTGGAACATATATAGAATCTTCATGGGCTACTTTATGTAAGATTCTGTGAGGGTTTCTCTTCTTTGACTAGATCACACATGCATATGTATCATTCTGAGGAAGCAAACAGAAAATTGCTTCTTCTTTTTCCTTTTTCTTTTAAGTGCTTGTATGCTTCCACACTGAAGAGTTAAATTAAAACCATTAATATTTTCTAAAAGAAAGTCAAAATCTCTTTCTCGTTTCCATTTCTTTGTTTCTGTGTAATTTATAGTTTTCTTTGAAAGGCAATTAATATTGTTTCACGAAATCCTTAATAGCTAGGACTTAGATAAATGAAATTGATGAGAATGTAAAGATCAACAAAAACATTAATACATGATCTTATTATATTCTATTTTTTTTAGTATTTTATATTGAAATTTCTTAATTTTTTCCTTCAATTTCTTTATTCCCTATATATACTTTCTTTCAGTTAAAACTTAAGTTCTATGGGTTATGATCAGAAAAGTCCTGTATATTCTAACATTTCCTAAAATTTTTCAAAAGAGATAACCATACCAGAATCAATCAATGCATTGGATTTCTCAGCAGCCGTGCTTGTATCGGGTTCAATATGAGTCATTTGGCAAATCTCCTCCAACTCTGACCTCTTTTTCATGACAAGTTCTTTCATTCTGCTAGCTTTCAGTTTAGTCAGCCTCTCAACTTCTGCTGATGCCTGTCAGAAAGAAACTTAAAGTCTAATAATTTTTATTTCAATAATTTACAGTAAAATTAAAAAAAAAGAAAAAAAAAAAAAAAGAAGAAGCTCTCAAACCTGTTCATCCAGACTGGTTTAATGAATTAATTGTTTATTTTATTATTTTTTTGATTGACAACTGCTTATTTCATTTTAATTTATAAAATCAAATTATATTATATAATTGAGATTAGTATTTATTAACTGAATCTAAAAAAATTAAGTGGAAAAAATCCAAAATTTTATATGTTGTTTTAATAAAACATTATAGGAAAATCTTTCATTGAAAATTATTAATAATCTATTTTTAAAGTATGAATAAAATTGTTTTGATTTCTTCAGAAAAAATTTATTGAAATAATATAATTTTAAAGAATTTTTTCTTCTAATTTTTTAAAAGTATGGCAAAAAAACATTTTTTCCTATATAATTACTATGTAAAATGAATGTAATCTATAATGTGTGCGTGTGCTTTACCTCACAGAGAAAAAAAAAAAAAAGGGGAGTCATATTGAGACTAGTAGTTTTATTTCCTTCCAATTACCAGCTTGCAATAAAATGGAAATATTTTGAAGAAACCCTTAATTGAAAGGCTGTGAGAGCAAGTTCTTCGAGCAAGAGCTGGTTTTTTTTTTTGTTTTTTATAGAAAGTAACCTTTCTTTTTGTCAAAGCTCCAATTGATGAGTATTCAATAGCAAATCCTAACAATGATATGTTGATTTTAGAGAAAGGAGCTCAATTTTTCTATAAATAAGTAACATCGGCGAGTTTGAATCTTATAAATGAAAAAACAAATACTAAGAGAGCTTCTTCCCTTGTAGGTTCTGATATAATTTAATTTCAGATTAGTTAAAATTCAATGTAATTTTTAAATACTAAAGATTTTAGTATTAAAAAAATAGCAAATCCTTGATATAACCATCAAATACATGTATTTACCTAAGAATTGGATCTAATTGGATAGTTGTTTGAATGCAATTAATATTGTCTCTATTCAATTTTAATTGTTTTAATTTAATTTTTTTAACTTTTTAAACATTAATCTCATACAAACATTTAACATAGTATGCATATATATATATATGTAAATTAAAAATTTTTGTTGATTAAATTTTGAAACTTCTCACGTGAAGGCCTTGTCACATGGATCTTAGGCTAGGATTTAAAATTTGACATACGAGTTTTAACATAAGGGCTTTTGTTCAACTTAAAACCAAATGTCTATAAATGGAGTGACTCTCCTTATATTTAAACAATATGTTTCGTTGTTATTTTATCAATGTGTAATTATCCCACTTAATGCGCCTACTTCACATGTAATCTCATTATGAATTTCAAATCTTATCACTCAAATCTTAGATTACAAATTTAAGAGACCCTCTTCACATGCATGTCCAATCTGTCAATGGATCTCTAGTTAACAAATGGGCTTAATATGGCATCCCCTCATATAGGTTGAACTACCATGGGATTTCATGCTTCCTAAGAACATAGCCTGGGGCCCTCAGCTATGTTATCATGTAAAAATTGGACATGTAGGCTTCAACATAAGATTTGTAGCTCATCTAAAACCAATTGAAAATTGGTGTAATAGCTCTCTTTGTATTTATCCCATGTGCTTTTTTTATTATTTTATCAATATGTCATTTTCCCATTCAACACACCTCTCACATGGGCAAGCTCAAGATGAATCTTGATTCCTGTCATGTGACTTAATATGTCTCCTTACATTCAAGTTTAGAATGAACTATGAGTTTTGTTATACAAGATAACAATGAGCCCTTAATAGGAACATAGCCTACTTTGATGCTATGTGAAAATTAAACATGCAAGCTTCAATACAAGGTTGCATCGAATGTACAACCAATTGACTATAATGGAGCAACTCTCTTTTTATTTAACCCACATGCTCCTTTGTTATTTTATTAAAGTGGGACTTTCTCACTTATCACACCATCATCACATGTAGATTCAGTATGACCTTTGAATCCTGTCATGTGGATCTCAGATTACAAACTTAAGAGGTCTTCTTTATGTGCAAGTTCAATCTGTCACATGAATCTAAGGCTAACAAACAAGCTTAATCTGCCTTCCCTTCATGCAAGCCCTTACTCTCATGAGATTTCAAACTTCCTAGAAACGTAGATTGAGGTTTGGTATTATGTGAAAATTGAACATGTGAGCTCCAATACAATTCTTACATCCAACCTAAACCCAATTAGTAGAAGGTGGATCTCTTTGTATTTGACCAACATGCTTCTTTATTATTTTATCAATGTATTTAACCCACATGCTTCTTTGTTATTTTATCAAAGTGGGACTTTCCCACTTATCATACCATCCTCATGTGTAGGTTTAATATGACCTTTGAATTCTATCATGTGGATCTCAAATTACAAACTTAAAAGGTCTTCCTTATGTGCAAGTTCAATCCGTCATAGGAATCTAAGGCTAACAAACAAGCTTAATATGCCTTCCCTTCATGCAAGCCCTTACTCCCATGAGATTTCAAACTTCCTAGAAACATAGCTTGGGGTTTGGTATTATGTGAAAATTGAACATGTGAGCTTCAATACAAATCTTACATCCAACCTAAAACCATTTAGTAAACGGTGGATCTTTTTGTATTTGACCAACATGCTTCTTTATTATTTTATCAATGTAAAATTTTTCTACTTAACACAGCATCTTCAATTGCAAGCTCAATATGAACTTCAAATCTTGTCACATGGATCTCTGATCTATTGGACGATAGACTTAAGAGGCCCTTCTCATGTGTAGGTTTGATCTATCACGTAGATTTTAGGTTAATTTAGCTATAAGAGAAGTAATACTCCTTATATTTAACTTATATATATATACATATTTTTTATCAAGAGAGATTTTGCCATTTAATAAAATATACTCATTGAATTGGATTGATTCCATTTAAATCGTACAGTTCATAAATCAAAATAGAAGTTGTGATTTAAATTATAAGAATAAGAAAAGGTTGAACAGAACAACCACTTGGAATTGGAGGATGTTTGAAGAAGATAACAATATTAGTGCCCCTTGAATCGAGGGTGAAAAGACCGCTAGAATTTTGAAACAGAAAATCATTTAAAACAATCTACTAACTCTCGTTCCTACATTTCTAATAAAATATAAATGCTATATTACTAATCATCATTAGATTTTCATGCCAAAGATATGCAGTAGTTGGTAGCAAAAAAAAAAAAAAAAACTGGCGTGCTAATGCCTAACAAGAGTTACATAAAAAAAAAAAAATAAAAAACCCTTCAATAGTGGGGTGGTTTAATTAACAATAAAAATTAAGAAGCAGAATTTTAGAAGAACAGAGAAGTAAAAATTATTTAAAGAGTACATTGGCGTCGCTGAAGAATGGATAGGTGAGAGAGAGCATGATGAGCGATAGAGAAGAGAGATGTGCCGTGAAAATCTGTGGGAAGAGAAAGCAGTGTCGCACAAATGGTATACCATACTAAAGGTTAAGGAGAGAAAGCAGCGGCATTGATGTCTGAAGAGATGAAGACTAAATTCTAGGGGCTTTATTTTGGCGAAATCTCTAAATCGACCTTCTAAATGTGAGGGTAAGCACAGATTTATTTATTTTTTAAATGTAAAGAGTAATTGTCTTTTTTAATTATTAATTAAAATAAATTATTAATTATTTAATGTGTAATGTCTTTATACATTAATTTTTTTTATTGAAAATAAATTTAAGTGGTAAATAAAAAGTTAATATGTGATAATATTATATATTAAATTTTAATAAAAATATATATTATATATTAAATAAAAAAATTAATTTATATTAATTAATAATTTACAGATATTTTTTTTTTTACAAAAAAACATTAATTAAATATTAATATCTATTTATAAATTAACATTACAATTAAAACCGTATGAGCTCTATCTACTATTTTTTTTAAAATAGTGTGACCCATTCACAAGATACGCTTGGAGTTCATATTCATCGTACTTCTTTTTAAGGACTATTCCTATCTTCTTCTTTTTTTTTTTTGGATAGATTCGAAGATTCAGCCTTTTATTTTTTTAATAAAAAATGAAAATACTACAGTGATCTCAAAAAAATTGCTCTTACCACTCCTTCTCTTATTATTATTTTTTTGGTACATGCTCCTTATCTTATTATTGCACTTGGTTGGTTGGGATAATTCTAACTTCTAATAAATAAAAATAGACGATAGCGTGCAACCACTGCCTCCATCTACTGTGAAAATAGCGGCTGCTATTGTAGAAATAGCCGATGCTATTGCTCAACCGCAACGCTACGGCTTCTTGTCATAGCGGGCATGGCTCGGTGCTACGTTATGTTACTAGTCAAAAAAATCATTTACACTTAAATTGTGATAAATAAAATTAATAAGTAAAATAAAAAGACGTTTAGTTAACACTAGACGGTAATTCGATATATGCCGAACAATACCAAAGCCTAATCACA